GGAGGCTGAGGCAGGAGGATCATTGCAAGTTTGAGGCCAGCCTGGGCTACAAAGTGAGCTCAAGGCCAGCCTGAACTGCATAGAGAGACCCTTGCTCACAAAAACAAACAAACAAACAAAAAAAAAAAAAACGAAAAAAAAGCCAGGGCCTTACACATGCCAGCCAAATGGTCTACCATCACCAGCCCAAGTTTTTTCTTTTTGTTCATATGGTTTCTCTCTTTCAACCAAATCTCTAAGCCATTTGGAATTGATGTGAGTGTTAGAGTGTTAGGTGTAAGACAAAGAGCTAACTCCAAGTAATGGCCAAATTGTTACAGTGCCTCTTATTGAGTAAAACTTTCCTTTCCCTAAAATATCTCCCCCATGATTTGTGATAAAATAATACAATAGAAGGAGGAAAATGACAACTGTCTCCCATCTCAGGGAGTACTTATGAATAAATGAAAGTTATGATGGAGACAGGAGCCCTTCCTGGAGAATGATGATGACTGCTGCTAGAATGACTGTCCCTTAGTATCCAACTAGACCTGCCAGGGAGGCAGGAAATAAACTAGAGGGCTGCTTGGGGTTTCAGACTCAGGAGTAGGGATGAGACACCCCGTGGCTTGAGGAAATATTTTCTTTTTCTATATATGTTCGAGTTGTATTGAACCTGAAGCATGATGCCCGTGGTTGAGGCAGGTGCCTGTGTTAATCTAACAGGCTTGCTCATGGAAGGAACCAACTCTTCGACAGTTCTCCCTGGAGCTCATAGTGGAGAAAATTAGACCTAGAGGATCCAGTGCCTTTCAGTCCAAGGGATCCAGCTGTGCAGTGAGACTTGTGGGATAACAGGTTTCACTCCCCCTGGGGCATTGTTCCCGAGAGGGACTCTGCGATGCAAAGCTCCACCCTCCGATTTTAGAGGAACCCCTTAAGGCAGCTGGTGTGGGAGCCGAAGGCTGATTCAGCCAGGTGTCCGGTGAGGTCAGCTGAAGTAGGTCACGGCCTTGAGAAGGACTTTGGTTTGATGCTCTTCCCACTGGAGTCTCCGGGAAAACTTGTTACTCTGATCCTTTGCTTTTCTTCTCCCTGCAGTGATTTAACTCTGATATGATCTGAGCCCCGAAGTCTAATGAGCCAGCCCTGGAGAAACGTGACGCGTAGGAGGGAGAGAGAAGGGCAGTACCAGCTGCCATCTTCTCTGGTACAGTGAGGAGGAGCCTCACCCTGAGGCATGGGCTATGATCTGGGGGGTCATATGAGAACAGGTAGTGTCCCCAGGATAGACAGATGTGATGGGGAAGGGCTCAGGTGTCGGGAAGTGTCCCAGGGCACATAATTTGAAGGGCTCAGCCTTGGAGAGTGAGGGAATTGCTTTTGAAAGGGAAAAGGGTGGGTCAGTCACAGGAAGACGATGGTTACATTCCTTGAGCCCAAACTGCAGTGGGTTGTGCGTATGCCAGCACTCCGTGTGAGTAATCACATTCCTATTGTAATAAAATATACATCACATAAAACTTACCATTTTATCATCTTAGGTGTATAGTTAGGTACACTCATGATGATGTGCCACAAGCACCACTAGCTCCAGAATGTTCTCCTCATGCTGAACAGACATTCTGAACCTATTTAAACAGTAATTTCACATTCCCCTCCACCTCCCCCACTCCCTGTAACCTTTATTTTTTATTTTATTTTATTTTTGTCTGTTTGAGACAGGGTCTCACTAAGCAGTTCAGGCTGGCCTTGAGCTCACTTTGTAGCCCAAGCTGGTCTCAAAGATCCTCCTGCCTCAGCCTCTCGAGTGCTGGGGTTATAGGCATGCACCACCAAGCCTGGCTCCCTGTAATCCTATATTGTATGTTTCTATGACTTTGCCTATTTTAGGTACTTTGTATATGTGGAATCATACAGTATTTGTATATGTATCTGGCTTATTTCACTTAATGTGATGTTTTCCAGGTTCACACATGTTGTAGCATGTATCAGGACTTCATTCCTTTCTGAAGTGACTAATATTCCATTATGTGGACATACCACATTTTTTCCTATCCATTCATCTGTTGATGGACAGTTGAGTTGGTTCCACCTTTTGAGTACTGTGAATAATGCTGCCATGAACATAGGTATACAAGTATGTATTTGAGTCCCTACTTCCTTTTGGAAATGCTGGATCATTGGGTTTAACATAACTCTGTGTTTGCCTGTTTGAAGCACCTGTATAAAATCAAACTTAATTTCCTGAGAGAA